TATATTATTATAATTAAATTAAATATTATAAGAATATTTCTAATTATCTATTATATATTAAATCAATAATAATAAATAAATAATATATCTTAAAATTATTAAATAACTAATAATTAATAAAATTATTAAATTATATAAATTATTAATTATTATTATTATTAAAAAATATTTAAATATTATATTTTAATAATTATATTAAATAAATATTTATTATTTAATAAAAATATATAAATTATTAATTACTTATCTTATTAGTAAAAAATCTTAAATTTAATATTTAAAATATTTTAAAATTTATAATAAGTAAAATTATTAAGTTAAATATTTTAAAATTATATTCTAATTATAAAAATTTTGTTTTATAAATTATAATTAGCTAAAAAAATTAAAAAATTATAATTAACTAATTCTTATTAATTTTATATATAATATAAATAAATTATAAAAAAATTATTAAGAATATTATTATTACTAGTTTAATCTTTATTTATCTTATAATTTTAATTATATTACTTTATTATATTTATTTTTATTATTTTTTAAATTTTTAATATTTTTTAAATTTTTTTATTTTTCTTATTTTTCTTTTTATTAATCTTTTATTATTATTATATATAATAATTTTTTTATAATATAATAAAAAAATTTAATAGTAAAAAATTTACTATATTAAGAATTTATTAGTAAATTTACTATATTAAATAGATTTTATTAAAGATAATTTTGAATATTATTTACTATATTATAAGTTTAATTAGTCTTTATTATAAAGAAAATATATTATAAAGAGTTATTATATATTATTATTAATTTATCTATTATTTTCATTTTATAATCTTAATAATATTATTTTATTTTTAAATTTTTTATATCTTTTAGATTTTTCTTTATTATTTTTTTATTAATCTCTTATTATATTATAATTTTAATTATTATTTATATAATTTCTTTCTATTTTTAATTAATTAATTATTTTATTTATTATATTTAATATATATATTATATTTTTAATTATTTTATATATATATTTTATTTTTTTTAATTTTCTCTTAGTAATTCTAAATTATATATTATAAAATATTAACTTAAATAATATTATTCTAAATAAATTTAATACTAATTAAGTTATATAATTAAATATAAATTAAATTATATTTTATATAAATATAAATTAATATAATATAATTTATTATAAAAGAAATCTTTATAAGAAATAAATTTTAATAAATAAGATAAAAATAAATAAAATTTAAGAAGATAATTAATACTTCAAAAATATAATTATTTTTTTATTTTATTATTTTTAATTTTATTTTATATTTGATCTTTTATTTAATAAAAATTATTTCTTATATTATTTATTTCATAATTTTAATTATCTATTTAACTAATAAAATATTATAATTTACTTATTATATACTTATTAAATACTTTATTAATACTGATTTGTTAGAAAATTTTTGTCTTAATTGAAGAAGCTCCATTTTAAATACCTCGGGAAGATATTGTCGATGTAAGAAATAGCACCACCTTCCTTTACATAATTTATAACCATGGAAGTTTTATAAATTTTTCAAGAAGTATGTCTTAGAAAAAGTTAATAATTTAGTGTTCGCACAGAATTATGATTTTCTTTTAATTTGCTAGGATTAATTCGCAAATAATAGTTGTTTTATGTCCCATTTATTGAATGACTCAAACCGACATAATAAAGTTCAGGAACTATTGTGCACGACTAAATGCAGTTATTCGTTTTTGTTTGGGAGGCATTTTTCATAATATAAATAAGCATAAAGTTAATTCAACTATCTATAAAACGATTTTTTGTAGTACATATATATAAATTCACGATTTCCATTTTATTCCGTTTTGTTTCAAAATTCCGTTTATACCGAATTTTTCCGGGTCTCAGACGATAATATTCTAATAACGGTCTTGTTAAACGATAAAAGACAAACATTAAAAAACTTATCGAAAACCTAGTATGGCTTCATTTATATCCCAACCTTTCAAAGCAACGGTATTTATTGTCTTTAGTAATTTTGGAAACTATAAAGTGATTTTTAATCCGATTTTATGTATGAATAAAGTATCGGTTTGCTTATGACCGACCTGCATATTTCTGGAGTTTGGTAATTGGATTCGTTGGTCCTGTATATGTCCTTGTCATGCCGCCAATACAAAGGAAATACGGTCGTGTAAAGCCAGAAAGTATACCTTACACTTATCCAAGTAAGAGTTAATATATGTATGTTATTTTTTTGGTTCCTGTCATAGAATCGATTTTCATTTAAACCGTTTTTCTATCTTGTAATTTTAGTGCCTAACCGTCCACGTCGACCAACGGTCGGTTACGAGGATCCATGAAAAAAAATTATTTCTAATAATTATAAAGCAAATTTATTAATTTTTCGATGTTGATAAAGCGCACCCCTGGTGTTAAACACCAGTATGTATAATTTGGACCAATAAATCCCATGTGAGATCTCACGGGATCAAAAAATGTGACTTGACCAATTAACTCGCATAATCATGTTGAGTGTCAAATTAAAACGTTTAGACTTCTCTTAGAATGATCAAATTGCTCGGCAATTGCCAAGAACAACTTTGACGAATATTGTTAATGGGCAATTTATACTTGAATTAATTAGCTTTATTATTGATATATTTTTGATGCTAATAATAATTTATAAATTTGATCACCCAAATTTTTCAAGTATTTCTTTAGCCAATTCGATAGCACCTGAAGTAGTTTCTGAATCAGATCTTAATAATTCTGGCTTGCAAATTTTATGATTATTATGATGCTGTTGATAATAATGATGTTTTGTCAACGAAATAAGTATAAAATTGTAATTAGGTCTTGATCTATTATTTTGATGGACGCAAGGATTCAAAATATGTATTTATAAGTATGAAAAAGGTAATAAAAATCAAATATTTAAAAATAGAACTTGAATTTATTGTAATTACTTGATAAAAAGTAATTCTTCCGATATTATTTTAGAGCTGATTGTTTCTTCAGTTGGTATGTTGCTCAGTTGTTCTTGTCGATGCAACACAAAGGAATCAAGTATCCTTGCTATATGCTGGTGATGGTGATGAGTTTTGGTAATCAACGAGACTTGCAAGAGCTTTGTAAATAAATAAAAAACAAATAAATATAAATTTCTCAAAAAAATTAATACAAAACGAACATACCTTTTGAATGATACTCAACAAAACATAACACAATTCTTCACAATTAAATTCATCATCATCCATAACACAATTCGTAACAGCGCAAGATTTTTGTTCAATGTTTGTGACTATTTGATCAAGTAACGAGATTATCATGTCTATTATATTTTCGGTGAAAATTTCTTTTATCCATAAAGGATTTTGTAACGTGAACTAAAGTAATAGTATAAATTATGAAAATAAGAATCATATAGACATTTTACTTTCGTTTAATAAACAAACAAAACTCACAAATTCAAGAAGTCTGAATGCTCCCAATAAAAGGTATGTTCTACACAACTTACTACTACCAGCATTATTATTACCAGGCAGTACTGTTGTGTTAGTAGTCTCGGTCATGATATGATACGTAATGAATCGAAGAACATTGCGTAGCATGTAAAAGTTCCATCGATTTTCAATTAAATAAAACCCTACAAACTAAAATAATAAAAATAAACTTTTTCTAGTTTTCAAAAGAAATAATAATAATTACCTAATTGAGGTGGACTTTTTTCTATCATTGTCTGAAAACTATCAGATATCAGTAAAAGTAAAAACCACGTAAACTGGTTATCGATCTAAAAAATATTTCAATCATTATATAAATATCATCTACAAAACATTAAAGAATTTATACATAACAAAATAGGAAAATGAATTCAGCCTCCAAACCTCGGAAACAACAAAATCCCGCAGTATATTCCAAATACTAATATAAATCCACTTTGTATTTTTCCGAAAAATCTCTAATGTGAGATCAAATCCTCTTTTGACAGTTGTGCATAAATGACCTTTTAATTTAATCAATAAGTATTAAGATATCAAGATAAATTAAATATATATTAAAAAGAAAATGTCAAGAATACGAACCAGCAATCAAAGCTGATTCGATCTTTGCCATATGCAAGAACATGAGGATTTCATTCATTGATGGAAATAATATTACCTCCTATTAATTGAATTGATTAATCAACACAGAAAATTTTTTAATGTGACAATTATCATTATAGAAATAAAACAAGGATGCCTGATTTCCATCCGTTTGAACAGGAATAGATTTATTCAAGAGCCCCAGAATTACAGACACGATTTCTAATCTATATTTAAACTCTGCGGTGTTTCTAGGATGTGTTGAAATAATTTTACGAGAAATTCGGTCACGAAGAGCGGGTAAGAATATTGGATGCTGTTGAATTTCTATTAATGCTAGACAACAAAAAATAAATATTAGCTTGCTTACTTTGGAGTTTACTCTAATCAACGTAATCATACAGTAAGATTATTATTGGGAATAAATGATACAGAGGAAGGAAATCATCAACTAACCTTTTCCAGTAGATATATTTGCAAGAATTGACAAGAAATTAACAATTAGTAAGAATTTTTCAGCTATAAAGAATATTTCATTCTCTGGCTCATTTTCATTATTGTCTTTTTTAGATTCTGGATGCATGGAATTTGAGATCTTCTCGTATTCATTAATTGATTGTAGGAGACTGGCCGAGGAGATATACATGGTGATGTGATTATTAATTAATAGAAATTATACCGTAGTAATGGGAATTTACGTGAACTGCTTTTGTCCCGAGAAAGATTTACCTTAAGGCGTAATCTAGAACTATATATCGTAAATTAGATACAAATCACATAATAAAAAAATTGCAAAAAAGAAATAATTTTACCTCCAGACAATGAACCCAAATTATCAACGATATAACGATTAAATCGTTTTCCTAGTACCAATAAAATGTGATTTATGGGTTGCCACCCTGAGTAACAATTTTCATCATAATAAAACTAATTATTATTATTTTGATAGTGACAAAAGAGCACATACGATCACATACACATAGGAATTTCTTACAATCTAATGGTAATCTCTCCAACATCAGTATACCAGATCCACTACCACCGAAAAGAACATATTTCAATAATGTCGTCCAAAATACTAGTACGTTGTTTATAACTGGGTTACTGATTTTATCATCATTATTGTTATAATTTTTGTGGTTATTGTTGATGTTTTCGGAAGATGATGAGGATGATGATAAGAGCGTAACAGTTAATGAGACAACTATTTTGAATTGAAAAGATTGTTGTTTTTGTTGGACAATAGTCTTATCATTAAGCATAGAGTTTGTGAGTAATGACTATTTTAATATTAAACATCTAATATTAATTCGTGATTATAACAAGAGACGTAAACCCATTAATAAATCAAGAATACCAAAAATATTTCTGTCGCAAACTCATTTCCAAATAACATTTCGCCAATTCGTAGACTCTGCTTTTCATCAATTACAGATGATGATGTTTCAAAGTTTTTCGAAAGTATAATTGTTATTTCGGGGAGTAACAATTTTTGTTGATCAAAGTTGAAGTGTAACCATTTTATCATCTTTATTAAAGGTAATTATTATTACTATTATTATTATTAGTGAATAGAGATTATTATTCATTACAAGTCAAAAATTAAATTATAAATTTTACCAGATCACCAACAAATCCCTTCATACTCCAACTACGCTTACACACTCGCCAAATCCACTCGAGAAATACATAATCGAACATGAAAAAGAAATTTTCTACGTATGATTTATTGTTATTGTCTTTTTCTTCTTGTAGTATCGATTTGATCGATGCTAGTATTTTCGAATATGTGTGTGGTTTAAAGTCTAAAGACCAATGGTAATAGTAAAATTAAAAGACATTATTGTTATATGTCGATTCTAGATTGATATATATATGTAAAGATTACCTAGATTAAGATTGTTCGTTTCTTCATATTTCTAATTAATAAGCAAAAAATCACAATAAAATAAATGAATCAGTTCAATTTATTACAAATACACACGCATATCTAATCTCATATAACTCACAATAAATAAATATAGAAAATGAATCATCGATACATCATGCAAGAAATCCAACGACATATATTTGGTGAGAAATTGTGATAATGCTTTGTATCCTTTTTTTGACGTCGAAGTTGTTATTGTTTGTGGTAGCATATTATCATCTTGATTGTTATCTTCGCCTTCAAGACCATTAGAATCACTAGAATACATACAATAATTGTAGGTTAATATCAAGCAATTAATTACTATTGTATATTGTGCACCTTCTCTTGTCTTTGTTAGATTCCACAACGAATAATAAAGCAAGTGCGGCCCTGTCCAATGTTTGGTTCACGTAAAGCGCGTTGATAATCGAAGAAGACGAAGATGGTGATGATGACGACGACAATGATGATCCAATGACATCGTTGGTTAGTAGATCAAATGCACCAGAGAGATTTTCTAAAAAAAAGGAAAATTAACAACAAACAATATTATTACATTAGATAATAATGAATAAACTCACCCGGTAAATTCCCAAACGCAAAATTCTCTGGCATAACATTTCCTTGTCTAATGCCACCACCACCGTCTATTTCTTCGACATTGAGCAAGAATCCACTTAATCTACCAATAACGGCAACAAGAAATCGGTCAAATCCGTTAGTGGAGTTTGGTTGGACTTGTCGGAAGTTGTGATTCTGTCGTAATGCTATTTCCAAGAGACCAGTTGATACTTTATTGAAAAATAATGTTTGTTAGTATTCATCAATTAGTTAATTAATGATAATAGTCATTTCTTATTCGGATTTTCTGTTTACCAAACTTTGAAGCCAACAAATTTTTCCAGTCCTTTTTGATTTGATTATATTTCCCGAAAATCTGATGACTTGTAGTAGGTAAATCAAATAAATCTGCGAGAACGCTGAATAATTCTTGTATTATTGTTATTGAGTCATGATTATCATCTTTTTTGTTGTTAGTTTGAGTCAAAGTCTTGAGATCAAGATAAGACTTAAAAATATATGTCAGTTGAACATCAAGGTTATAACAATCCGAGTAAGCTAATTAATAAGATAACAACCATAACTAACGGAATTAGAAACTCATCAAACACTCTAACGATCCCATGAGCTGTTTTATGTAACACTTCCGCTAGATTTTCGTAAACTTTAATTATCGGAATCCTTTCGATTTTCGGTTCCCGCTCTTCTTTTGAGGTTGAAGTACTTTCCTTATCATTGTTTATTTGTCCATGCATCCTCATGTTCATCTTTGAAATGTATATGCCAACTAGGTAAATAACCATTGAATACACTTGAAGCACTTAAAAAATGATTATAAATGTTAAAAATGTATGATTTTTCATTGCGAATTAAATAACATTAAAAAGAAACGTACTATTGCTCAATCGACCATATTCATTATGTAAAATATCACTTTTTTCCTCATTATCATGATGGTCATAATTATCATCACGATTCACGGAAGAAAATGATTCGTAAAAATAATAACTAATCAATTGATTAATATCCTTCGAAGGTGATGATGAAGATGATAATGAGAGCACATTATCGATCAGGATCTCGAGAATTATATTGAATAATTCCTCGGATAAATTTATGGATGGTGATAATAATAATAATGATTCTGTAGCGGTAGATGAAGAAGTGTTGGTGGTGGTGTCTGCTGTTTCGAACGTTATGTCACACAATGATTCCACGATCATCATAAAAAATTTAAGCAGGCACGGATAAGCATTGCATATTACGTCAAATCCTTTACTATTATCGCCTATGCGTGGATGTGACTTGATGTTAACTATATTTATTATATTGCGATTATTCGCATTTAGTTGATGAATGTTCAGTTAGACTGTTAACCTGTAATCACCCATCGGTCAAAACAATCAATCTCTTATGGCAAGCATGTAAGACAAAAAAAACCTTCTCCAAGAAAATGACAGAACGCGTGGAAAAAATCCGTCAATACTTTAATTTTGTCGTCATAATGATCATGATCATCGGCATCATTATCATTATCACGACGACGACGATCCATGAAAATTTCATAAAACAAGATTCGGCGCCATTCTTGTTTTCGAACGTGTTTATCGTGTTTCAGATCGGGTGACAATGACGACAACGGAAAAGAAGAGGAAGAGAAGTAGTCGTGATAGAAATTGTCCCGAGAAAGTATCTGAATCTGGATTTGATTGCAGATTCACACAATGATGCAAGTGATGGTTGCATGTATGCAGGTATGTATTTTGGTATGTAAACAATAGTTTATTTTAAAGACGCACAAAATTTACCTTATTCAACGTTTCTAGTAAGTGATCGACACAATTCGCGTTGATCTGAAACTGATACGAAGAACAAGGCAACGGCCGCGAAGACAATGATGATAATAACGGCGAGTTATTATTATTACTACTACTATTATCGTCGTCGTCGTCGTCATCATCATCATCATCATTGTTATTATGATAAAATCCATGATTGAATATATTGATAAAGGTCCAAATTTCTTGGATAATCATCATATTGTTGTTACTTTCATTTTTATTTTTAGTGTCATGGTGAAGAGTGTTGTTGATATTCAAACTGTTTTGTGTCATTTGTGTTTTGGAACGAAATAAATATTTTGATCCCGTGTTTTCACGAGGGATTGCGTGAACTCGAGTATTTTTAGATAACAATAACAGGAAGTTAAAATGATAGATAGAGAAGCTGTATAAGCAAGTATCGAGTAAATGCAGTCAGCAAGCGAGAATATGTGTGTGAGTATGTCGTAGCTGCAGTTTTCTATACTTTTTCTTCCGAGACTTTTTCTTCTTTATGTCACACTCGCTCAATAATGGGGTTGAATTGAAACCTTATAAACAAGTATAGAAGAGTTGTTATAAGTGGGGAAATAATCATGAAACAGCGGGTAGCGTGGAGAATTTTTTTTTTGGTTAAATGAATTTGGGTGGTAAAGTTTAATAAATTATATATAAATAAAAAGTCAATTAACATGTGTGTGTATGATAAAATAGACATTTTTCGATTTATCATTATTTGTTACAAATAAAAGCGCGCATGTACATACGAAAGAAAATCTCTTTTTACATTTAAAGAAATATTTATCGTTTTCATTTTTTATTGGAGATGGTGATCAATCAATCAAAATCAATCAATCAATCATTGTGTGAGTTTTCTTAATTTGTAGGGCATTGTTTCAATTCAAGTGATTACGACAATGATATATGGCGAAATTGATGATATCATCAACGTATACTGTAGAATAATTATAATAATTTTAGGAAATAAGATGGGTTGATTCAATATCCAACAATATATAAATATATCATCTGACTAATTCGAAAAGAAAAACCGCCTCCTCCAAAATAAGGAACACCACTTGCCGCCGTCATCCCGAATGTGCCATTTTTTTTTTCTTATTCTATGTGGAAACAATCAGCATCATCTCGTTAATTGTCACATAATAGTTGGTGATTTTTTTTTATGGTTGTACTTTAAATATTGATTTGTGTATATGATATTTATATTGAAGGTGATGCAAATGCGAGTCAACATAGAAGTTTTTTTAATTTCATACATTGTAGATTTGCTATTTGTACATGTTGTTACTTTAATATTATTTGTTTATCACTTTTTTTTATTTTTAAACTAAAGTCTCGCCCACTCTCATTCCTTTCTGGCGTTATCTGTCTGAGTACTTCGTTTCCCACCCACCAATTTTAATAATAAACTCACGTTCAAAAATTTTTATAGCGATAATAATAAAAATAATATTATTATTTTTCAAATCTCGACAAAATGATGACCATTCCAGTTGACTGTTCTTCACCGCCCGCTTCACACTCGAAAAAAAACCGGGCAGCAACGAAAATAATGTCGTCGCCGTCGCCGACTACAACAACCAAATCAAAAGGTAACAAGACGTCGTCGACGACGACAAATGGAAAGAAACCGAAACTATCGGAAAGAGATTTGAATATTAGATTGACGAAGATATTTACAAAAATTGGGTGTTTGGAAATCGCTTCAGAGGTAATTAATTTCTCACTCGCTTTCTTTCCCAATTCATCAATTCATCCACTGATTAGTTATAATTTAATTGATCAACCAAATAATTGAATAGGGTATCAGAGAACTATATGATCTACTTCTCGAGCACCCAGAATATGAAGTAAAAATCAATTCCTTTCTATCGAGTGCTGGCACTTTTTTCTACAACTATATTCGTGATGCACTGGCGGATATCACGACAAGTGAAATGCAAAAATGTGGTTTGTTACCGAAAGAAGATTCAGCACCGCCATCACCAACACCAGCACCACAAAAGGATCAAGAGCAACTACAAAGCAATAATAAGGCAGTTGCGTTTGAATCAAAACACGAACCAATAGAACCTTTAAATCTATCGAAAACGGAAAATATCAACAACAATAAAAATATTGCTTCGTCACCTCCATTATCACCAATGACAAGTATGTGCTTTTGCTTTCTTAACGGTTCCTTTCTTTCGTTAAATTATTTTACTTATATCTTGTGCTTTTTGATTGCTTGGCATTATATAGAAGCATTCACGCAAAAATATTCTCGAGAGACATTCGAACAAACACGATCACGCTTACACGCAATATTTCAATATGAAAAATATAAGGTAATTATAAATTAACAATAGACCAATTAATTATCAATAATAAGCAATAACACTCAAGCGAATATTATTATTTACGAATTAGGTTGGTCAACGACGTTCTAGCCTTCCCACTCGTGATAAACTAACAAACGACGCTGAGCGTCTGGAATTCGTAAAAAGTATCATATTGTCATCTATGCGGCGACCTTCCTCATGGTCACATAGTACACCCAGCCTATTACAATCGACGACATCGTCGTCAAAAATATAATTTAACACCACCACGGAAATCTAATCTGATTTCGTTATAAAAAAAACTTTATCTATTAGCTTATTTTCTTACACCATACCCACTCCTACTGATTCATTCTTTTACCAAAAAATCATAATTCTCACCAATTTATTGCATGTTCTATAAGACATCCTTAGAAGTAGCTCTTTTTGAACAATAACCGAATATTCTGAGTTTATCTCTATAAAAATATCGTTTTCTTTCCATATATCAATATCCATCTTAGAGATTTAATTCTTACACTAAAATCTACACTTTAATCTTTTTTGTAGTGTAAAAATCTTTTTTTTTTTATTAGATTTTTTTACTTACATCGTTTTATTAGACGGGAGTGAGGAAAGGATATATTTTATGAAAAACAGATACAGACAATTTTATTATTATTTTCCTATTTTTATTTCTTCTGTACAGTAAACAGCCGTAGCGATAATTAACAAGTAGTGATTACAATGATGATGATGATGACTACGACGACGACAAAATTATTCGAACTATTGAAAAACAGAGTACAACGATCATTATAATCATCATCACCATCATTGTAATTATTTTTATTATTTACGATCATATTCTTTTTATCATATACACATATACATTTGCTTGTAAATATATTTTTGTATACCATCAACAAACACTGATACACATCATAAAGAAAAAACAGAGGGTTTATATTAATTTTTCTTTTTATATTTGAATAAAAAATAAAATCCAATCAGCATTTTTATATAACTAATTTAATAAATAACTTGTTATAAGAGAAACAACAATAAAATTTAATTCCCAACATTATCATTTTTAAGACTAGATTTGCCGGCACGCATCATTTCATCGACTAACAGAAAATTACTCGAAATTACCGAGCTATTTTTTAAGAATAATGTCCATAAGCAAATAAAATTATCCCATGGAACAAAAACGAAATAAATAAGGAAACGTACCAAGAATGTAGCATGTGTCGCACCACTCGATAATTATCCCAAATTCCTTCGAGCACCGGATCAAGCGTCTCTCCTGTATTAAGGTCCACCCCAACTATGTGGCCCGCTGCATGTTCTTCCTGGAATATTTTACAGAAAAAATATAGTGTCAAAAACAATAAATAATTTTAACGCATTTTACAAAATTAAGAAATTACCTGTAACGCAACAATCGTATCTTGTGCATCAAATCCTCCATTCTGTGCAAGCACTTTGGGGATAATTAACATTGCATCCGCAAATGCTTGTATTCCCATTTTAGCACGACCTTTAACCGAATCTTTGTATTTTGTCAAATGGGCTGCGAGTGCTACTTGGAACGCGCCCGCACCAGGGACAACAGCACCGTCTTCTATGGTATTCTTTACAGCGCGAAGACCGTCACGTACAGCATCGTTGATTTGTGAGATTGTGTGAGCATTTGGTCCTTTTTTTGTGTTTATTGATAAGTATTGTCCATCCGTAATCACGAACGAAGCATAATATCTTATTAAAAAACATACCTTTAATTAATATTGTTACAGATTTTGGGTCCTCCACTTCCTCAACAAACGTATATTTTTCTTCACCCAAAGTATGTTCGTATATGAGACCAGCATGACCCAAAATTTCTGGGGTTAAATCATCAACAGAATTTTGAGCGACTCCACCACACACAAGTTGTAATCTAAATATCATTTTATCCAAAATATTAAAAAATTCTACACAAAAAAATATTTTAAATGAATAGTAAAAAGATGAAATTCATTCAAAGCAGCACCTTTCCATATTTCTTCTTTTAGCGCGTCGTAAAGCCAAAATATTATTCTTACAAAGAATATCCAACGAAAGAGGGTCTATTCCTTTCTGGTTAATCACCATAAACCCTTTTTTCGAGTCTCCGACTACTTTATTCTTCAAGTCGACAATTTTTCGTACTTTTTCATCAGTGAATTTTCGCTCGGATTGTACGAGTTTTTCTCGCTGTTCCGCTGACGAGTAAAAGAAGCCAGAGTTGATTTCACTAGTTCAGAAATTCTAATTAGCGTAATAATTAAAAATATCTAATTACTGTATATGTTATTTACCTCTTTTCATATTCCAACGACACATTTAACGTCAAAATATACGCGTCTTCAACACGTTTCGGCATGTCAGGATGACGTGCACCATGATCTAACACAAGTCCGCGAATCAGTCGTGAATCAATCGAAGTCTTGTGCTGCATTTTCATAATTTCCACCATGTGTAAATCGATCGGCTCGTCATCTCGCTTAATCGCTAAAACTGCATCAACGACTGCCTCAGTTAATGAATCGGCTAATTTGATGTGTACTTTGGTGCGTAGTGAAGTTCGTGCCACGTTTGTTAAAAGTTCTCGGTCAATTGGTCGTTGAACTTTGAATTTGTCGAGAAACTTTTTTTTTGTTATTCACGTTAATAAATATAAGTCATGATAAAACTTATATTCTCTATTCCATCATATAAAAAATATACCTCTAATGACTCCTTTCTTGCCAAATCAAAACCTTCTGTGATAATTCTAGGATGCAGCCCTTCTGATACGTATCGTTCAGCTTGTTTCATTAGTTCTCCAACTAATAATACAATAGATGTTGTTCCGTCTCCTGTGATTTCATCTTGTGCGGTGGCTGCTCGTGCTATCATTACAGCCGTTGGATTTTGAATTTGCTTTATTTATTTATTTTATTTGATTTAGGTTAACAAGATTATGAAAAATTGAAAACGTATATAGAAATAGATATTTCGCGTACCATTTCACTTAAGAGCACTTTACCATCTTTCGTTAACTTTATGCTTCCCGCGCCATCAACTAACCTATTATATTATTTTGCATTCATTTATATGTTCGGTACCAGAATTATATAAAGAGAATTGATTTGTTATCCAAAAAAATAACAACCGAATGAATGAAGCAAAAAATGCGATTTACTCAATCCAATCGAAATCGTAAAGTATCGAATTTTATAAAAATAAAAAGTAAATAAAATTCGTTTTTTATTTTATTTTATTAAATCGTCGTTATCATTGTACACATAATACAGGAAAATATTGAATTAAACAATTTTATAATTGATCGATTGATCAGATCTTTTTTTTAAAAAATCAAGAATCAAGAATAATTCGAAACTTTTTGCCATATAAGGGATATCAAAACACTCACATTTTGATGGTGCCTTTCGGCCCAAGGTTCGATTTCAACACATCCTGTAAACCAACAGCCGCAGTGATGTTGAGTTGAAGTGCTTGGCCGCGTCTAGCTACTTCAGATTTTGGATTTATTAGCTGAACTGCGGAAGCCCTATCACGAAACAAGTGAAGATTCATTAGTATAGATTAAATAAATAAAAGAATTTCTTTTTTACATTCTAAAGTCCTGTTGAACAAATTCTCACATTTTTATTCGTGTACTTTCAGTGAAGGTGGAAAAGAATAAGTAAATAATTTATACTCGAATGGTCGATCACACAATTCCAAATCTGGATAAGATGAAAATCACGTGAAAAAAATCAAAAATTTAAAAGAAGTTTATACATGACAATAAATAACTACATTAATCCCTAATCAATAAATTAAAAGGTTATAGAACAATCTTTCTAATCCTCATCGTCAAATTCAAATTCTCTTCTACTTATGTGGATATCTTGCAGTGGTTGTAAATCATCAACAAATGCCTGTTTGTCAAGCGCGAATCTTCTTGAAGGAGGTCGAGCAAATTTATCTGAACGTGAAGTATTTTTCTGAGGATTAAAATCTGCTTTTGGACTAAAAGTATTTTCTGGACTCTGGGTTACTTGAGGATTTTCGAGAACAGAGGAATCTTGTTTTTTGGGAAGTGATTCTGTGGATATCTGAAGATGTCTATTACGACGGACGCCAGCATTCCCTAATGGCCGGGAATTTCGACGGAGAGAAGTAGGTGATATTGGAGGATCATTGGTAATTGGATTTGGATGAGATTCAACAAGACGAGTTGATGATACAGAACTGTTGACAGTAATTTGATTTTGATTTAAGCCATTAGATCCGTTGTATTTTTTATGGTTATAATATTCAGTAGGGCTCTCGTTAAATGACTGTTCATGATTAGAATCTGAGGGAGACGATATCGCATAAGATGCTGACTCCTTGATTTCTTGTGTAGTTTCTATCGGAGGAGCTATTTGTTCCTTCATCGCGATCGATTGTTGTTTTATTTGTTCGTCTATTTTGGGGTCTACAGGGATACTAATGGTTGATGTTAGTGGAATTTCTTCCACAATTAAATCAGGATTATGAGATAATATTATCAACTCTGGTTCATCCTTTTTTTTCGGTGTTTCTGTTGTATTTAGTGGCACATTTTCGGTCTCTTTGACAGATGAATCTTCTTCAAACACAGGATTAATGATCGTTGTTTCTTGTGTAATCTCTTGTTCTTCAATTATTATAGAACTAATACTATTTCGTGAGAAGCTTTCTCTAGTTCTACTAGAACGATTCGATCGGTGCAGAGCTTTAATGGATTGCGTAGAATCTCGATTTGATGATCCACGCTTCATAACCTCGGCCATGATACTAGAAGTAGTATCACAAGGTTCATTCTGCCTGAAGATGGTGTTGTAATATAATATGAGATCCTTCAGCAATCGTTGTGGGTGTCGATCAGAGAGAGTCAACGCAGTATTGAATTGTGGACGTAAAAGAATGGGACCATATATCTGTGAAAACGTAGTCGGGAATGGATCATCCGCGCCAAAATTCTCGATCGAACTGAATATAGATAGAGAAATAGATTTATTTATTAAATTTTTAATTCCTTAATAATGAAAAGATGATGGGAGGAAGAGGAAATAAACCTATGTATACTAGATATAAAAATGTCTAGAGTATATAGGTTTCCATCGGGTAAGGAGGTCATTAATAGATTCCCTATTGACGCGCGACGCGTTACTTCTTCATGCTCTTCTAAATCTTTGTTATGTGCAAGATCAAATACGGTTTGTATGGTCATTTGTATTTTAGTTGTCGAAAATTTTGGATTTGTAAATTTTTAAATCGTTACTTACTAGTCGAATATAATAATTTAACAGCATCATAAAGCTCAAACGTAAGCAAGCATTCCGGTAGTTCCATAAAGTATAGCTTTAAAACACCTACTACAACTGGAAGATCATACTCGCGCAATTTCTTGAGCTTTATTTTTCCACCTATATAAATCGCGAGTTCATTAATAAAATAGAGGAATATTAGTATATATCAAAACAGTAAAAATTCATGAATTTACCATCATTGATTTCTTCGCGAAGAGCATGTATTAAGGAAAGCGGCCTCTGCGATAACCATAAGTCTCTCTTGTCTTTGACAAAGGTTGAGACCTGATTAAATATAGTCGGGTGTAACGATAAATGCAATAAATTCCATAAGAGAATTCTTTACCAGAGTCACTCCAACCTACTGTCCCTATTTATTTAATGTCCATGTATTTTTTTTAGCAAATATACTGGTTTTCCATAATTAAATAAATACTTTCAAAAAAATCTAACCTTTAGTAATGCAGCTTAGGCATTTCGTGACAATTTGAGGTATAAATTTTAAATCATGTTTCGCCTTTTCCTCAAGTGGAACTCCAAAAGTTTGATCTAACCAGAAATAGTTAGTAAAATGTAATCATCAAAAAAACTAAATGAACGAACATGTAGTACCATTTGCGCTTCCATTATATGCATTAGTATAAATAATAACACGGGGACAAAATGGTCCAGTTCGATAACGTTCTAATGTGAATTGAAGATCGGTTTCTGGCCTGAGCGCTTCTTGATAAATAATTAAACGTTCAGACATGGATTGAATCGCAACAATAGCGCTATTGAAGGTGCCACTATAATTTAAAAAAGCTACCATAGGAATAATATTAATCAATGGGAAATGTCTAATAATAATGATAAATATAAAAAATGAAATTAATATGTTTTACAAGTTTTTATAGAATTTAATCTCGCAACTTCTGCACGTTCCAGGAAATTCATGTGATCTGTCTAAATATAATAAATGTGAGTTTCAAAGAATTTAAATGCATTTCCTTTCAAAATTGAATAAAATTAGGAACACTAACCATAGTCTCTTCAAGAGTAAGACGAGTCTTATCCAATTTTCTAACAGCATGTCTATAAGAATCATCAGCTTCTTGTGCCTCTTTACGTGCACGTTTTTCCGGAGGTTCTTCTTCACTAAAATTAACCAGTCTTCCCCAATTCACCGAAGACTCTTCTGAATATCGAAGATTGAATGCTTTCTTTTGACATTGGTAATATGATGATGGACTTGGGATAAATGCATTCCCAATTGCACCAATCAGTCGTAAAAAACCTTGATCGGCCAGTTCTTGACCGAAATTTTCTGCTTCACGCCAAGTGCGCGTTCCAGGATTATTATTTAGCAGCCATTTAGCAATATCCTCGCCCGTATAAAGATCATTATATAGACCAAGTATCGGAATTCTTAGCTCACGAGGTTGAAGATTAGCTCGCATCCGAGCTAAGAGCTTCATTAATTCTTCCTCGGTGAATGTTTGTCCACAGATGATCACTATCATTACCGGATACGAATTGTGACTTTTTATTCTCCCTTTTTCTTCTGCTTCGCGTAATCTGGCTTCCCGATCAGCCACCAATTCTGCTTGATCGGCAGTCTCGCATTTCGCTACGTAACTAATACGAGATTTCTCTACCTCGCTTTCCATACGAGCATGCGCTTTAAGATTATTGGTGATTTTTTCTTTACTAGCGCATAGTTGCATGCTATGCTCTTCGGTGTATTTTAACATGGGTTGAAGCACCATTTCTGTCATGTTATTGGCTAGTTCTATATGTGTTTCTCCCAAAACTTTACATTCCTGTTTTAACGATTCAAAAGTACGTTTTAAGGACGCGCCATCGTCACGCAAGAAGCCGTCGGGTCTATAATCACTGTTGGATAGTTCTACAAGTTTTTTGCCATATTCTTCTTCGACGGCTATTCTTTCCTAATAAGGTAAATAAAAAAGTAAGCTAAGTCCACCTTTTATTTTGAAGATTTATATTAAACGAACCTTAAAAAATGCCACGATTTCTTCATTCTCTACTCTGCCTTGTTCTAGTTTATCATATAATGCATTAATGCCAGGCGCATAGTTAGGACTAGTCCAAAACGAATTTTCAAATTTCAAGACAGTCATTTATAAAATAATGACTTTATGGCGACTTTAGCATAAAAAATTTTTGAATTTACAAATAATCATATTCAATAAACAAATGCACAATGCAACAATGCAACATACAATCGATATAATCGATGTAGTGAATTCGGATTATTTCTAGGAACCATAGTTGACGAAAGAATTAAAATTCCTAACATACTGCCAGCATATACCACAATTGTCAAAATGTAAACTAACATATAGATTTAGCATTAAAATCCTATCATTACGGCAATGGTGTGACAAGCACGAGAACGAATATATATATATATATATGTTTTTGAGCAACGACCGTATTACAATTTAAATGGTCTATGGCCTATTGCCTTTTAGGAGTATAAAAGTCTAATAACCCCTCACTGTTGAACGCCCTACCAAAACTTTTATGCTTTTTCCGCCGCCTCGAATTCATCTGAAGTCTTTGCTCAGCTGGAGCCGAATTGACTTAATTAGATCGGAAGACTTACGTGCCATTGTAATCTTACCCGATACTTCCAAAGAAAATTTACATATTATTATTTTTCAATTAAGTATTAGGAAATTTCCTAATAATTTAATTGATGAAATTTATTTTAATCTCGATAATAATAAAGTAGTTGAATTAAATTTAAAAAAACATACTATTAAATATCTTTATTATATCGACAACGATTATACCACTGATTTTGGTGGTGATTATATTATTGAAAATGGAGAATACTACGACAAAACTTCAATATTAATTGTTAGTCATATTACAAAATCACGATCTATTCCAAATTTAATTAATGGAATCGAGAAGAAGAAATTGAAACAATTCAAAATGAACAATATTTTTTATTAAAAATAGAATTTATTAAAAATTTTACATTAATAGTTGATCAGATATGTGAAAATTATAAATCACCTGGAATATATTATTTAGAAGATTTATAATATTTCATTAAATCATATACCATTAAATGAAAAAAGAATATTTATTAAAATTATAAATCAAGATATAAAAACAAAAAATGATTTTTTCTTATTATAATAATTTATATTATCCACAGAATATAATTTTAAAATCTGAATTAGCTTTCATGTTAAATATATATATACTTTACATTTTAATTTAATTTTAAAATTAGCTTATTATATTGATTCATCTTGCAAAAATTATTCAATTCCTGGTATATATATTAATTAAATTTATTAATGCTAAGAATTTCATATGAATGATTATAATTTATATTATTATCAATAAAAGATTTTTTTGTTTTTATAATAATTAAAGATTTGGTATTTTTTTCAATTTTTTCATTCCAATTTATAATTAAAATTATTAGTTATTATAATATAAAGATTTTTTATTATTATTAATAAATTGAATTTATTTTATTTAGTATATTGTAACCAATCACTTATTCATGTGGTGCAGCCGCAGCATGTGGTGCAGTAATTGCCAATTACTACTAAATCGGGTGAATAAGTAATTTTATTAATTAATCTTATTTATAATTAATTCTATTTTTAATCTATATTATT